ATATTTTTCTACTGGAACATGTTTAATTAGAGTTTTAATTTTGCAGAAAATAAAATGTTCATCATTATTTTACATCAAGAAATTGCTTCATATATCATGAAAAATTGCTTTTATGAGAATGTTTTAATTGACCTATTGACCACAGGTGTAAGTTTATGACATGAACTTATATTAGTTGAGTATAAAGGATAACAAAGATAATAAAATATTTATTGATATATCAACAATGCATATCTTGAATATGTATAAAGTAAAAGAAGATGAAGAAATTCATGTTGATGTTGATCATATTATAATGTCATTACAAATAAAAATATCTAAGTATTATATACACAAATCAAATAATGTTAGTAGGTTTCTCTAGAATAAAATATATTTTAAACAATAATAGTAATAAAATTATATAGGTTGTTTGAGAAAAAGGTTTTAATTTAATAAAAATAATGGTAATAATGATGGTTTGGGTGTAATTATAACTATGAATACTAGTAATTATTGTGAAGGTGTTGACACGGTTGTTGATAGTTCTAGTGTAAGTGATGGGAAATTTAAAAAATAAATATGATAATACTAAATAATTATAATTTTAATCAATCATAACTTATTTTTCCAATCACATAAATTTTCAAATTAACATATTGAAATGAAAAGAATTTCTTCAACAAAACCTATTTATCAAGACAATTCTCAAACACAACTCCTATATTTTAGGACTTTAATTAAAATCTTTATATGCATAGCTAAATCATTCTTATCCACACTTCAAAACACATCTTCTCTCAATTATTAAAAAAAAAACTTCAATTTTCTAATTTTATTAAAATCTTCTAAATGAATCACTTCTCAACTCATTCAAACCCTAATTTGGATAAATATACACTAGATCATAGATGCAACTGAATATTTATTACAACGAGAAATTGTAAGAGCACGTGCACACTCAATTATAAAATTTTAAACCCTAAGCAATTTTATTTATATGGAACTACATATTAAAATATCAAATACCTTGTACACAATTTCAATTTTGAATTATTTTTGAGCAAAAAAAACCAACATAAAAAAACATAGATAATTTTGAATTCTAAGCAAACCGTTATGCATTTTTTGAACCCACTTACCAAGTCCATTCATTTGTTGTTGTTTTTTTGGGATTTTAAATCTCTTAGTTTTAAGAATTTATTTAGAAGATTGTTGTTTATCTTAATTTTTTAATTTTGGATTCTAAAACTAACAATATTGAAGAGAATTTATTTTATTTTTTTAATATTGACCCATGTGATAACATGCCTTTAAGGTTATTTATGATTGAGATTTAGTTTTTGTTTTAGTTGAATGCATATGCTAATTTGAAAATATCTTTAGGTTTTAAAATGATTTTTTTCATATATTTTGAACACCTAGAATATATTTTAAAGTTTTCTCTCTCTTACATGATTGTTTAAGATTCGCTTAAAACCTTCTTATTTTTCATCTTTTTAATTTTACCCTTTCACTTTTAATTTATTTAATTTAGGGTGAGTTAATATATAATCCATGTTTTGTTGTTTAATGCATGAGGTTTCATTTCTTTTTATCTATTTCCTATGATATTCTACATGTTAAATTAGGTGTGAATAAGCCAAATGCCAGTGTTATCTTTTTAATTTTAGTTTTTTTTCCTTTAATATAAACAACAACATAAACAAAAACAAATTAAAAAAAATATTCTTTAACATATTTGATATTGTAATCCTAAATCATAATCTAAATAATTATAGTATTGAATGATGGTCATTCGAAAGGAAGAAAAAAGAATTGTGAGCTGATAATAAATTCTACACTAGTTAAAAAGTACAAAAAGAATTACGAATACATTTTCATCAAAGAAAATAATTTGCAATGCCTTTAATTCTAAATTATCCAATATGAAAAATTTCAATGTGAAAAATAATACACACACAGATATATATAAACTAATAAAACACAGTTTTTTCTCACACATTAGCACAATAACAAAAATTAATTATTCCAAGACTAGTATAGTTAAAAAAACAATTCCCACAATAACACACAAAATAGTTATATTTATGCATGAATTACCAACCAAATATTTTTTCTTTACCTCGATGGTTAATAATATACATGTCATTAAGTGTATCAATATTATCAATGCAACCTAAACCAACACATTACTTAATCAAGGTAATACACTTTAATTATGACAAAATAATATATAAGAACCACCATCATCCATAAATCACTTTTATTCATGCATAATGGATATGCAATTTTAATTAAATTGTTGATGTATAGTATTTATATTACCTATGAAACTATAAAACATATACATTTATAACATTTATACCAAAAAATAAAATTAAAAAAATAAATAATTTAGTTCACACTAATTGATAAGGCTCTTATGAATTCAACTTATTAACGTAGGTAGGATTTTGTTTATAATACCTATGTCTCTCCCCAACCCAATTAATATATTTAGAACAATTAAGTAGGATAATTGTTTTATTGAAATTTTATTTTTAACCGGTGTTCATAATTATTATTATCAAGCTTAAATTGAGAATTGTTTTTCTGTAATTATTATCAAGCTTAAATTGAGAATTGTTTTTCTGTAATTATTTTAAGTATCTGAATTCTCTACACATTAAGATAATCCTTGTAAAAAAATATCTATAATTATAATTTTATAATTAAAATAAAAAAAATTAATAAATTTTTAAATTAACTTAAAAAAAAGCTTTTATGAGGTTGTCTGACTTGAGATTGTTGCTTGAGGACGGAAAAGCAATGCAAGATAGAAAGGAAAAAGTAAAGGAAAAAAAAATTATGAAATTAGTTAATTAAAAGTTCGTGCTAATACTAAATGCACAACCAAAAGGTCACGCATATATTATTAGCGTGACCAATGATTGCACATTTAGTATATATATAATATAGATTGTGAATTTCTTTTTTAAATATAGATTTTGAATATATTACATGCGCTTTATGTGTGATAATTTTTTTTTTAAGTGTGTTAGTTTGCGAAATAATATTTTCAATTTTGAAAAATAAAAAAAACTCAATACACTTAAGAGGAAGGACAAAGTAAAAGGAAGAGTACTTG